TCAGTTTGTCAGCTTAGGTTCATACCTGATGCCCAAGTAAGAGGGGGACCTGCAGTACCCCCAGCACCCTCAGTGGAAATGTTTCTCCACTGGAAACAGCCATTAGCACTGAAGAACCAACTGTTTGTTTGACCATGGAGCCCCCAGCGACACCTGTCATGGAGAAAGTCTTCACTGCCCTGAATCAGGGAGGAACACACAATATCCCAGTTTCACTGCACCTCTGAAATACTTCTGGGAGGTCACATTCAATAAGCAATGAAGACTCTGTTATCTGGATGTTCTGGTACCCCAGACAAAAGCCTGACTTCCCAGCATTTCATCCTCAGAAGGCATGATCTTCGAACACAGCTGTATCCCAGTATCATTCCTTATTTTAGGCCACCCATTTAACAAATCCTGAAGGCCTTCTGTGTGCTGGGCACTGAGCAAAATGAACACTCAGAGGGCTCACAGACCAGAGTAGGAGTCAGCCACCAAACAAACAGAATTACCCAATCTGTTGCTTGGCTATATTTAGGACTAAGTGCTACAGGGATAAATACAAGATGCCATTCAGCTGTGTATTGAGTCCCAATAAGCTCTGCTGTGCTGGAGCTATGAAGGGTGGCCTAACATATAACTCAAGTGGTTCTTTTCCCCCTCCTTCTCTCAGACTTTTTCTATTTCCTAAAGAAAAATTTCCAAAGCTAGCCAATGCCTCTGTTTGAGGAAGGGAGAAAAGTAGAAGGCCTTGATGATGTAGGCATAGGACACACATACCTGGGCAGACACACGCGCACACACACACACACACACACACACACGCACACATACACATACACACAGGAGAGGATGACCCATGAAACATGCCCTAGGGGGAAGAAGAGGAAGAAAAAAAATGAAATCCAAACAGTCTTTTTCACCCCGAAAACATATAATTTTGTGTAAATTTTTACTTTAAACATCTCTCTTTTCCTGAGCTGTGATATGGGCCCTGTCAAAGCCAGGGCCAATTACTGCCATTAGGTTCCCATCATGTCACCGCTTCTCCCCCTGTCTGGAAGGCCCTCGCCTCACAGGCCTATAATCTGCACTCACTTTCACTCCATCACTTTCAGAAGGAACAAAATTGTTTTGTGTGTTTTTTTTTAAAAGGGCCTTTATTTGGCCCCTGTCAACTCTGAAAAGAAGAGAGAAAAAGAGAGAGGGGGAGAGAGAAAAGAGGAGAAAGAAAGATTGTTTAAGTGTTTAACCATGAGATTGCCATCAGGAAGTGTGAGGCAGGCAGCCCAGCTTGCCCAAGGGCCAAGGCCCAGGCTTGGGGACACTAAACTCTGAGCCTCACCACTTGTCCCAGCCCTTGATGGGGAGTTCTTTTTGCCCCTAGAAGAGTTCTCACACATTCAGATCGCACAGCCTTGGAAGAATGTATCTGAAGACATCATCAAAGACCAGCCACAAGTTGCCATACCAGCTACTGAGAATGTCTGTCACAGGCCAAAAAGTAGGGTGAGCTTTTTGGTCTCCAAACTCTCTAAGGCACCAGCTGTGGCCGGGGCAGTGGGCCAGTGCAGAGCTTCAGGAATGCTGAGGATGCTGTTAGCAGAAGGCAGCACGAAAGCCGGCCTGTTGAGACAGTGCCTGGGCCTCTGGGTGGCTTGGCCTGGTCCCTCCCTTGGCTAGGCAGAGATGTTCCCAACCCTCACCCTCTCTCCCTCAGGTCACCTGGCTGCTCTGGGCCCTTCTTCCCACTGCTGAAGCCACAGGCTCCTCCCATCACCTGAGTTGGACGGACGCTCTTCCGGCACTGTGGTCACACCTTTCTGAAATCTGCAGACACTTATCACACCCCAGCTCAGGCGGGCAGGCCCAGCATGCCTCTCCACTCCCGCCGCCTCAGTCGTCACTTAGCCAAGCTAAACAGATTTAGCTCCTTTAATCTTTCCTCATTAGTTGGCAATCTGGAAAGGAAACAAATGCTCACCCCATACAGGTTCAAGCTGTTGCTTTAACCTTGTAAAAGTGTGTAGGGTGCTGGGACTGTGGAGCCAGTTAGAATCATTACCCTAAGAGGCCACTCCCTGTCAGCAAGCCCCCTTAGGGGCTTTCCCCACACTGTTTGAAACCACCCCAGTGTGTCACCTCTCTTCTAGCCCCAAGAGCTCCACACCCAAATTTTGGGCATGCAGCCCCCACAGCAGAACAGCTTCCAGGGCCCTCCTATGGCTGTCTCCCCCAAATATGTTTCCCCCCAAAATATGTTCATTTGTTCCAACCCACTCCTCCCCTCATAATGAGGTCCTCAAGTCTGTGACTTCTTTGGGTTCCTGTATTATTCCTCAGCCACACCTACCCATCAGCTTCTTCAATTACATGCTGTTTTCTGCTCATCCAAAAGGAGATCTTGTTAAATGTTCATCAGGAAGGCATCCTTTGCCCTGAATGCATTCCCTGCCATTGATCTTTCCTTTCTGTGCAGTTTCCATTTACATACCTATACCACTAGCAAAAACCTGAACCTGTTTTAACAACAGCCACTTGTGGTATGCCCATTACAACACATCTGTTTTTCTGTTTCCAATTTGATCACATAGTGTTATTCTGTTTGGTGTGGTTTGGCCCTTAGGCATACTTACACACACACACACACACCACACCACACGCATACAAACGCAGAATCACTATTTTATTTTCCTCTTGGAGATGACAGACTCCCCCCTCCCCTTTCACTGACTCTAGTTTCAAACTGAATGGGTGAAGATTTTCAGGATGGTTGCCTCATTTTTTAGAAGACAGGAGTCACATCTGTTTTACTTTCCCAGGCTTCTGATGGCCCCTTTTACTTTCTATGATTTTCCAGACATAATTATAAGTGGTTCAATCAGCACCCCGCTTAGCATGTTCCCAGAACACTGGCCTTAATACCTCATGATGGATGTCATCCTGACTTGCTGATTTGTGAAACCTTTACATTTTCTGAGTATTCTCCTACCTGCTTTCTATCAGTAACGATTTTTGCACAGTCTGCATTTACTTCCTAATTATCCAAATTCCTTTTTGTCATTTTTCTTCTTAAAGACTGATCTAAAAAATGAGCCAAGTATCTCTGCCCTGTAGGAGGCAAGATGAATCTCTACTGCTCTTCATTTATTAGTGGTCTCTATGCTCATCGGTCTCCCCCACCTTTTCCTTCCCCTCACCCTCAATCTATTGCTAAATATGTTTATTCCTTTTAACTCTTCACTAAAGTTTCCCTCCATCTCCTCTGGTTTTTCCACTTGTCCACAAGCCCCAGGATCTGTCCTCTCCTGGTTCCTACAGCCAATCTCTTTAGGGTGTCCTCACCCTAAGCTACTCTAGAGCAGGCAAAAGCCCTCTCCCTTCATCAGAACTGGCTGTAGTTTTCTGTGTGGTCTTCTTCCAGCTCTCTGTCCTCAGGACTCCAAAATGGACAGGCATCTTTGAAATATAAGTAGAAAGCTCCAATAGACTACCTGCTTCCCTGCCTCCCCAAAACGACCTCCACTATCACTCCCTCTCATCCCCTGGTCCTGAAGGTGTTCTCTGAACCATTCAGGCTTGCTGGCCTCCATTTTAGGGTTCTGAAGAAACTTCCTAGATCTCAAAGCAAGAGTCAGTCCTCTTTCTTTCTTTTTTTTTTTTTGGTACTGGGGACCGAACTCGGGTCCTTGTGCTTTCGAGGCGGGTGCTGGAACCACTGAGCTAAATCCCCAGCCCCTCACTCTTAACTCTAGGAAATCTTGGTTTTCATTTTGCTCATTTCCTCTTTTCCTTTTCTTCGTCCATTCATCATTTAGCATGGTGAGTCTCTGAGTGACTCCCATAAGCACTAGGGGCAGGGTAGTGAACCAAATAGCAAGAGACCAGATCTCACAGTGCTTAAACCCTGGTGGAGAAGAGCCCTTAACTAAATACTCTTCCAACTCAATGTATGAAAGTGCAGAGTGCTATATGAAAGTAGAACCAGAGGATGAAATTTACACTTGGAATCAGTACAATTTACTGAGAGAGGAGGATGGGGTGAAATACCTGCTAAAGTCCTGAAAAGGAAAGCTTGCATATATGATGAGTAGGAGAGGCAGTTTGGTGGAGCATGGTCTGGGAAAGGGAGGGAGTCTCAAGCTGAGGCTAGAGCAGTGTCCTCAAGTGAGCATGAAAAACAAGACAAGGAAAGAAGGGTATGCTCCACTGTGCCCTGGAACAGCTGGAGGAGCAACTGATTCCCATTTCCTTCCCCTCCCCTGTCCCCTCCCCTCCCCTCTCCTTTCCTTTCCTGTCTTGTTATGCAATTCAGGCTGGTCTTGAACTCTCAATGATCCTCCTGTCTCAATCTCCTGAGTGGTAGGATTACAGGCCACCATGCCCTGCTTGATGTCCATTTTCTAATCCTCTCTGTTGCTTTGAGGAGAACCAGAAAACTTAACAACACTACTGGGATTATTTCCTCTTTTGTCTTGGCTACCTCAAGTGGCCTTTCTGATTTTCTCACCCATAAATGGGACTGCCTGCACTTATCTAAAGGAATATGCAAAAGATCCCATTTCATTAAAGCAGTCTGGCCTGGGGTTAAGGTAGGCGAATTTTAGAATCACAGGTAGGGATGGACAGTTTGCAAAAGGTCCCTATGTGAGGCTGATGTGTCATCTTGGGGATGCTTCCTTTTATAGAATCAATCTCCCTTGAGCCTCAGTTTCCTTATCATAAAAGAGAGATTAATCCTTTCCATCTATCCTCACTGATTAAAACAAGGTTTACATTAGTTCTTTGAAAACCACAGAGTATTTTTTAAGTGAGAAGTCTTCCACTGCTGGGGACCCAGGAAGAAGTGAAGGTCTTATGGTTGCTTGGTCAGTAAGAGCAGAGATGCCTGAGGTGGAGCTGCTTCCAGACCCCAGGATGGTGGCAAAAGCCTTAGGATGCAGTGCTGCCCATGCGACAGGGGCTCTTTGACAAACTGGGCTCTTTGGTTTCTGGCCATGTTCTCTTTTATTCTACAGTGCCAATGGAATAGGGTTGGAAAGGCCTTCACAGCTTGTCTAGGCCAAGCATCAGCTAAAGCAGAGTCCCTTCCACAAGCGTTGTGCAATATTTGGGGGCATCCAGCCCAAGAGCAGAAATGAAAATGCAGGATTTCCTAAGGAAATGATGGGAAGATGGATAGAGAAAAAGGTAGCCTTTCAAGGTAGAGTAAAAGGTCCTCCCTATTCAGCACCAAGTTTTTACCTACCTGCTGACTCCATGTAACTAAGCCATCTCTCCTGCATGTTCACCTCAGGATGCTCGCAGACCCAATGGCTCCCCATGGGATCTGGCCATGGATACCCAGGGCTCCCAGGAATATTCACCAGGAGAGGGTCCGCTGCCTAGCCCGAAGAAACCATCCTCCCCTCCAGCCCTGCCTGAGGAAAGAAAGGTCATTCCCTCCTCCTCCTTTCCACAGCAGCTTTTCAAAGGTTAAATTCAACCAGCTCACCCCACCCCCCTCACGCCCACCCCCAAACAAGAGAGGAAAAGTTAATTGAAAATGCTGTTTAATTTTTCAGCTCCAGTGGATCCTACCCCAGCACAGATGGCTCCCCCAGGACTGTCTGTCCCCAGCCCATCTCCACCAGTCCATGCCCCCTCCCCAAGCATGGGGGCAGAAGCACAGCCAGCAGTGGCTCAAAGGGAGAAAAAAGAAGGGGGAGTGGGAGGGGGCACCTCCACACAAAAGAGCATTCTGAGCCCTTGGTTCCCTGGCCCAGAGAACAATGCTCCCGACTTGATCCTTTCATAAAGAGAGTTTCTGGTGTCAGGAGACAGCCGCCCAGCGCCCAAGCCTCCCACACCGGCCACTTCACTGCCCACCACCAACTGCTGCGCTGGCTGGGCTTCATTCCGCGCCCCCCTCTGCGTCCAGCTGGAAGTGAGTGCGGTACCAGCCCCCACCCCGTTCCAGGCCTGCCCGCTACTTGTTGCCCCCTAAAGACTCTGACAGGGCCCCAGAGAGGCCAGCCAGCTGAGATGAAAGGCTAGGACTCTAACTGGATTACCCCCACCAGCCCCAGGACTAAAGAGGCCAAGAAGCACTAATTAAAGCCATCCCCTCTTCCCCGTGCCCCACCCCAATCACCACAGCATTCTGCCTTTCATCCCAGGTTCTCCACTTTGTTCAAATTTCCGCTATTGATGAATTACTAGGCTGTGGAGAGGTGGGGTAAGTGGAGAAACTACAAATCCCCTCGGCCTTGAGAGCCACTGGCTGTCAACTTGCTTAGATTTTGTTGCCCCCTCCACTGTAGCCAAGAGTAGAAACCTAGAAGAGGCAGAGAAGGAGTGGGAGGCAAAAGAGTCAAGAGGGAAGGACGTGGCTGGAGGGCAAGAGGAGGTCTCCACCACCGCTAGAGGAGTAGCATCCCTCTAAGTCCGTCACATCCCTCTAAGGGGAAAGGCAGCCCCGTGTGTCTGCCCCAGGCCTGGCCCAGGGTGAAGGGTAGCGGTTACTCCCTTCCAGGGGGAGATAGGGGCTGCAGTGTGCCCTCTCCCCCTCCCTTTTGGTACCACCTCCAATCTCCATTTCCATCTCTTCCTCCTTACCCAGAAAGAGCCGCTCGCCTCTGGCTAGAGTACAGGGAGAATCTGAGACTCCACCAGGAACCACTCCACTGGCTTATATTAGTTTATATTCCCCCATTATCACTCTTTGATTGTCATAAGAATTCTACGAGGCAGGTATTTTTGGCTTTATTTTTCTGGCTTTATTTTAAATGAAAAGGAGACAGAAAGTTTCCAGGGAACTCTGGGCTCTGCAAGTTTGCTACCTGGGCAGGTCAGGGGAGAAGGAAGATAAGAGCCCAGGGCTCCTGAGGACCAACCCAGTGTTCTTTCCCCGGAGAAGCTCCCATGAGCAGGGCGCCTTGCTGAGTGATTCTTGACATGCTCTGCACAGGGGATGGCATTCACTGTCTTGGGCCCACCCAGACTGTGGGGTGCTCCTGGTGGCTGAGAGCAACCGTCAGGGCTCAACAGAGGAAGCCACAAGAGCCCTCTTCTGGGAAAGCAAAAAGCTGAGCCACGGTGCCCCAGCCCACACCACAGCCTTGCACGATCACCTTCCTCCCCAGACAAGGGAAACCTGGGTATGGCACGTGGCGGGCAGGGCCACCAGTCACCTGCCTTGACATGACAGCATGCAGAGAAGAGAAAGCGAGCTCCAGGGGTCTCGGGAGACCCTATCCTCCTGCACGCCCTGCCCTCTCTGACATCCTAAGACGGGAAAGGGCTGTGAGGTCGTGTCCTACCTAGGGCCAGGACACAGATCCCTTCCTTGTAGGGAATGAAAGGGACAATAACCTCTGGGCTGGGATGCCTGGGTTCAAGAGGAGGAAGGCTCCTTTTACGTAATTATTCTTTTGTTTTGTCTTGTTTGCTGCCCAGAGAAGGAGGAAGGAATAGGAGTGCTCTATTAACCTAATTTTCAAAACAAGGGGGTAAGATGGGATACCTTGGAGAAGTGTCAAGGGTGGGGAGAAGGAGAGGATTTTACCAACCGGAGTAGGGCGGAGACTGGGGCGGGGCATGGGGGGAGGGGCGCAGAGAGGCTTGGAGGGAGGTCAAGGGAGAAACGAAGAAAGAGGAAAAAAGAAAAACCCAGCAGTGCGCCATGTCTCATTGTTCATGCTCAGCCCTTCAATTTGCTCTCTGCATTCTCCTGCCGTGGGGAGAATGTTACGCTGGCTTAAGGGACAAATCAGACACAAAATAAAGACCAACACTCAGCAGTAAAGCAATTATCGCAACATTTTATGCCAGGACTGTTCCTTTTGAAGGCAGCCTGGTGCTACCCGCATGTACCTTAACCCGTTCCTAATAACCATAAAGTTACCATTATTTACGGTACAAGACATTAAATAAATAATGCAAACTCAGGCAAGCGAGCAGTCTGTGCAGAGCTAGGCAAGAAAGCTTCCCTGCTGCGGGCCAGCCGCAGGGGTTAACACTGGGTGGAAGGGACGCTCACAGCAACCTGTCCAGAAGCCTGGTGGTCTCACTTTGCCCTCTTCCTGGGGAGCCTGTGCAGAGCCAGAGGACAGACAGCCCGACCAGTCAGGAGAAATCAGGTAACCAAGGGGCAATCTAGCCAGGACCCGAACAGCCCACAAACTTGGCCAGGAGCCTGTTTCCTGGGGGTAGCCTGGGAGAGAGCCAGGGCCTAGAGGAACTCTCCTGCCACTGTGGTAAAAAGGAACAAACATGTGCTCATGTCAGTCAGATCCAGGTTCGAATCCTGATGGCTATTTGAAAGCCACGTGAGACCACACAGGTAACAGATGCTCCAATTCCTTATGATACACTGGGAGGCTCCATGCACGGGGCTGCAAGGAGGTTGAGTGAGATGGGCTGTGTAAAGCAGTGAGGAAGTGCTTAGCTCTTAATGTCTACTTAATGTCAATTTCTCTTTCCTTCTAAAAGTAATTCTTAGCTTTGCATTTATAATTCAAAACTAATAATTTGGTTATATCAATTTGAAACAGCCTAGAGGACACTCAAAGTTTCCGGTTCAAGGTGAAAAGGAGGCCTGGAAGGGGTAGAGAGACCAGAGAGACAAATCTCAAAAAAAGACAGATGACAACTTCTCAAGACAGGAATGGTCACATGGTTTTGGCAAAAGGATTTTTCAAAAAGAAACTCTCAGTCTATGTCAAGAAAGATATGGATGCCAATGGACACAGGTACCAGATGTCTCTTAGGCCTTGTCTCTGAGGTATCAGATACTATCTGTAAAAATCAAATATAGAAGAGAGGACTTGGCTCCTTTCCTCTTTGTCTTTCCCAGTTCTAAGCAACCTAGTTCATAATAATGCTCCTCCTTAAACTCCAGAGAATCAGGTGTAGATTTCCAAGAGGAATCTCCAAAGGACCAATTGTATCAGATGGTCATCTTGCATGCCCACCCACCTCTTCATCTGCCGGGCCCCAGAGAGGGCCAGTGGGGATCAAAAGGGACCCCAGATAATGTGATCCCTAAAGCTTCTGTGTGACAGCCATTTGTGTCCACATTCTTGCACAGATGAGCTTAAGAACTCACCAAAGACTTCGGTGCTGGGCTAGATTGGCCCATAGGCCTGCCTTCTACCCAGAGCAAATTATTTTTGAGGAGCATCAGAATCATCTAGTCAAGAATAGCCTCATTTATCAGCATACTAGAACTTTAGGAAGCATCAGAATTGTTTAAAGGGCTGGTTAAAACAGATTGGTGGTCCTCACCAAGTTTCTGCTTCTGTAACCTGGGCAGGGCCTGAGAGTCTGCATCCATAAGTTTTCAAGTGACACTAATGCTGCTGGTCCAGGGAGCAGAACACTGGCCCTAGAAATCTTCCCTCAGACCTTTCTCCACCTCAGATCTGGCCCTGAAAGATGAACAGAAAGGCTGGGCTAGCTCTCTCTCTCTTTCTGTCTCTCTCCTGATGGTGGTAGTGGTGATAGGGGTCTGGGATTTTTTTCTTCAAACCAGACGGAGAACACAACCAGCAACATATTTTCAGTGTGGGGGCGGATGAAGGGCATCTTCCAGCACACAAACTCTTGTGCACTCGATTATGGACACATGAAGCCAGGTGTGGTGACAGAAGCCTACAATCCCAGTACTTTGGGAGGCTGAGGCTGGAGGATTGAAAGTTTGAGACCAGCTTGGGCAATTTAGCAACTTCGAGAACCTGTTTCAGAATGAAAAAAAAAAAGAGCTTCTGGGAAGGTAGCTCAGTGTGAAGGCCTTAGGTTCAGTCCCTAGTAACACACACACAGCCACACACACACACACACACACACACATGCTTTTTCCTTACCCCAGATTTGGAGACCAAGCCTTTTTCTTGCTTGGTGGGGCAAGTTTTTACCTCTGGAAGCAAACCAGGTAAAAATTTCAAATGTAGCAAAGTTAAAGAAAAAATGTGAATATAATCTTACAAAATAATTCTGTTCTCATATTTTCTTTCTCTCCTCTTCTGATCCTTTTCCTCTCAAATATTTCCAGGCTGGAGTTCAGGGACTGGCCCTGGGGTTCTCATGGTAGACCCATAACCCGTGGACCTAGGAACACATAGAGTGCCATTCCCAGTTAAGAATCCCCACAGACTTATTTACCAGGACCTCAGAAGGCTACATCACACTGCAGCCTTGGCCAGAAACGACATAAAGTGTGTATGGGTTTGACAAGTTCGGGAAAGGGATCAAATGGAGGACTTGGCATGGCTGTGAGGTCAGTGGCATCGAGCTGTAGGGTGCCAGGTCCTCATGCCTGGGCTTGGAATTGCTGATTTCTATCATGCTGCAAGGCCAAACCCTTCAGGGCCCCATCCTTTCTCTTTTTCTCTCAACTTTGAGAATGGAATATGTTGCCTATTTCAAAGGTTGCAATAGCTCCCTGCAGGAGGCAGAGCACATAGGAGGGCCAGGGGAAGCCGAGAGCAGGGGAACAGCTGATTCCTGAGTGCTGAGAGCTCCAGAGCCACCACAAGTCCCCCACTAGGCCTGTACTTGTCACAAAGTCAGTTTGAGAAAATGCTCTGTCCCTGTGTTTGGGTGGAGTGGGGAGGGAGGGAAGAGAAGGAGGGAACTTCATTCTTTTCTGGCTTAAAAAGTCAAAGGCTCTGTACGGCACACAGCAGGAAGAAAGAAATTGTCCTGCTCACCCTCATATGGCCTCCCCTTCCTGACCAGGTTCCCTGCTTCTTTGACAGGCACTCCTCAATCTGGCCCAGTCCAAGGAGATGGACCCAGCTCTTCTCCTGCTCTCCCAGCCCAGTCTTGCTGCCAGTCCTGGTGTCCCACAGCTGACTGCCAGCAAACAGGACTCTTATCTTCAGAACCCACCCCTCCCCCTCAACTATAGCATTAACCTTTCTCTTTCTTTCAACAAAAGCCAAACTCTTTCAAAGGCAATCTGATTGAAATTCAAAAACTTTCCAGGGCCTCCGCACTACTCTCTACTCCTCTCCATATTGACAGCCCCTTACCACTCTCCCACCTCCAGCCCCCACCCCCCCAGCAATGTATAAATTAGCGGGACAAAGGCCTCTCCCCACCCTCTTCCCTCAACCACAAGGCTCTCCCTTTGTATCATTGTATCACTTCAGGCTGGTGCAAAAGGAGCTGGCTCTGAGCTGTCCATTGTCTCTGTCACCCCAACCCCCTGCCTTCGCAGCCTGGAAGCCCTGTGCCAGTCGGGCTTAGATGGTCAAACCAAGTGAAGTTGGGGCCCCTGGGCCCATCCTCTTACAACAGAGGAGAAGGGCCCAGTGCTGGTCTACCTGAGGGTGCCTGACCTGGCCAAGGGTTACTAGCCCTACATTGTGGACTCTGGTAGACAGAGAACTGCAGACCCAAGCCTATTCCCTTGTCTTCCTGGACACCAGATGGAGCTCCTCCCTCCCGCCTCTCTCTTCAGAGACAACCCCCTCCCTCTGCAACAGGAGCAATTAGAAGGTCTGGCAGGCCCTGGGGAGGGAGGGGGCCCAGGTGGTGGCCAGGAGGCTATTAGAAGATGGAGAAAGGCAGCCAAGGGACACCTCCCTGTACAGGGCTGCAGCCACTGGGGAGGAAAGACCAAAATGCTTTTCAACTAATGAATTAATTCAACAAGTATTTATTGAGCATCTATCATATGTATGCTCATTGGGGAAAGAGTGGTAAACAAAACAAAGTCCTCCTCATAGAGCTTACATTCTAGGGGGTGAGACGGACAGTCAACAACAAATCAGCATGTAACACTTCAGGTAGGTAAAAAAAAAAAAATCTATGTAGAAAAATACTTCAAGAAAAGGGCTAGAGGGTGCCAGTGGGTGAAAAGTCGGACTCTAAACTGGGAATGAGAGCGAAGGAGGGTCTCGGAAAAGAGAACCCAGCTTGAAGGGGGAGCAAGAGCAAAGGCCCCAAGTTGATGCAGAAATGGGAAGGCTGAAGTCCAGAGGGGAGAATGTAGAGTATGAGATCAGAGAGGAGTCAGGAAGCCAGATCATGTGTCTGGTCCATCTTTGTAAGGGCTTCAGATTTTCTCTGAATGAGGAGCAAATCACAGGAATCACCAAATTTGATTTACACATTGAAAGCCCCCTGGGCAAGAAGTGGGGTGACTAGGAGACTTAAAATTATCAAGAGGAGACAGAATGGTGACTAGAGTCAGGATAATGTGGTAGAGATGGAGACCAATGGTCAGAATTTGGGTATACTCTGAAGGTAGGACCAACAGGACTTGTGATATGTTATATGCTGATGTAAAAGAAAGGAGCCAATCAAGAATGACTCCAAGGTTTTGGGCCTGATCCAAATCGGAAACTGAAGTAGCCATTTACTGATACCGCAGAGATAAAGGAGACAATTATTTGGGCCTGTGCAATTAGAAGGATTAGTGGTTCTGTTTTGGACTTACACATATGAGCAGCCAACTGGAGACTGGGTATATGAGTGTGAGGTTCCGGGAGAAGCCTGGACTAGAGA